GAGCGTCATGCTAACGTTAACGTCAGGCAGCATGACAGATTCGGGAGTGGGTCTGCTATGGTGTGGGGGGGGGGGGAGGGGGATCACCATGACTGGCAGAACGGACTTGCATATTGTTGAAAGAAGGGTCACTGGTGTGTACTACCGTGACCACATCCTGTCACCGATAGTTCTGTCCTTTGCTCAACGGGCAGGTCGACGTTTCATCTTTCAAGATGATAATGCCCGTGCCCACCGCGCTCGTGTCGTGAATAACTACCTCCAGCGTCACCATATTGACCATATGCCTTGGCCAGCTAGTTAATAATATACAGCTGGGGTCGAGATATGTTATTGTACTAGTTAATATACAGCTGGGGTCGAGATATGTTATTGTACTAGTTAATATACAGCTGGGGTTGAGATATGTTATTGTACTAGTTAATATACAGCTGAGGTCGAGATATGTTATTGTACTAGTTAATATACAGCTGGGGTCGAGATATGTTATTGTACTAGTTAATAATATACAGCTGGTGACAGTGAGTAGGATTGCCTGTCTGCCCCCTCCCCCCACAGCCAAAGAGCCCTACACGCAATCAAATTATTGAATTAAATTAAACGATTTGTTAGTCCCGAAACGACCTGGTTAAAGTTAGTAAAAATAATAATTTTTTCTGCAGTATTCCATACTTTTTGTAATTTATCTATCAGCTTTATCATCATTCAATTTTAGGAAGTTCTTTTATATACATTTTCTTATTTAATTTATACAGTTTACATGTTGCAGTTTTTGATAACAGATGTTATCATGCGTTTTAGTGTGAAAATCCATATTGACTACAGGATACTCATTATTACACTCGGGGGGTTGGATGGCCGAATGGTTAGCACGTGCGTGCTGTATCATAAAACCTGTCATTGAGTCAACTGGTGTGGTTTCGACACCCCAGTTGTACGTGACAAGGAGTAGGGTCGCCTGTCCAATCTCGTGGGTTTTCCCCGGGTCCTCCGGTTTCCTCCCACTGCTAAAGACCCTACGCGCAAGCGAATTATTGAAATAAAATTAAAAACCGTATGTTAGTCCCGAAATGACCTAGTTTGTGTGTAGTGGACGTTAAACCCCATTTCTCTCTCTCTCTCTCATTATTACACTCATCCGTTTAACACCTGATATTTTACAACTTATAGAGTTTTTAATGATATTTTACAACTTATAGAGTTTTTAATGATAGTGATCACCAAATATTGAATAGAAAGTTGGTTAAACTCGGGATGGAGTGAAACATACCGTTGTGATAGTTCCTTTTGTGAGATCTCGTGCACGCGATAGAGAGTACAGTGCTTGGTGCATATATTTCAAATATTGTTTTGAAGCATTGATGCCATGAGAGGTAGTTCTCTATCGATATTTTAGCATACCGGGGCATTCCGTTTCAGAGACTTATTCCCTCTTTGGATTTCCCCTACTCCTTTCCAAATATTGTGTCAACGCGATGAAGGCAATAGTTGTTAGTGGATTTGTTTCGAATTTGATGTAAAACATTAGGACTGTGTGGGGAATAACCTTATTCATTTTCAAACTTGGTGTTATTTTGAGTGTATTATGACTTTCTATTCCAGAGGTATATTTTGTGTCTGGAAAAGCTTTTGAATACCATAGAGATGGGGGTTTCCTGACGGCATACTTATCATATTTAGTCAACATCCTACTTCTGTGGCTCTGTGTCTTTCGAAACTTGCTGCGTGGGCGCAAAACTTGGCCAAATTGTTCTTTGAAATTTGCATATATGACGTAATTGTGATGTAATAGTGACGTCATTGCTATCATATTACTATTAGAGTACCAATTAAAGGGTAATTGGTTAATTAAACTTCGTAATCCTTATTTTAAAAACACAGATTTTGAGTTTGAATAATCCACTGGAACGAATTAATATAGTTACTATATTTAAACAATAATTAAATATGGTTTATTCCATATAAAGAGTCCACCAAGAAACTTAAAGTCCTAGTGTTTTTGTTATTTTACGAAATTCCAAATGTTCTAAATGCTACAATGATATTCAAATGAGTAAATTTAACCAACAAATTGTTTTTTTGTTTTTTTTTAAATAGCATCATTTGATATATTGCCATTGCTGCATCTGGTATAGTATTTACAGTGTCTGCATACGGGAAACCGCTAAATAAAGCGTCGATGTAGAGCGAGGCCTGACGCATTATAAGGACTTGTTTTTCTCGGAGGACGGGCTCGGTCGTGGGAAAGGGTTCGTCCCACACTGATCAGCAATGAATATTTGCTAGGCTGCTACAATCACTGATAAGGAGGACATCAATGCGACTTAATGAGTCTCAACTTTTTTCCACCAACAAATCAAATTCTAAAAAAAATTTTTTGATGCATTAGAAAAATAAATAAAGACGTTTGACGTATTTGTAGGTAAAAATTATTTCCTATTTATTGTAAATGGGTATTAAAATGACTAAAAGACAGCATTCTGCCCGAAGCAGTAACGTCTTATGTAAACAATGCACGCGCCATTCAGCCAATGATTGACGCCGCGTGCTGTGACAGCACGTGTTAAAGGCAGTCATCTCGTAATTCCCTGTATTGTCTGCGATATCACCTCGGTGGAAGCGGACGTAAAATACAACTAACCCATCATCAATTCCCTGTAAAACAGTTTGGGTTCGTCGCCGTAGGCTTATCTTCCGGTGTGTAGCGAGTTGCGGCCGATTCGAAGTATTTCGTCTCGGCTGTAGTCAAGCGAAGAGCGCCTGTCTTCGGACTGGCTGCTCTGATCGGCGCCAGGGCGAACGTAGCTCCGGGCTGAGGAACGACCCGTTATCCCCCACCCATGGTGTCGTCGCGGTTGACTTGACTGCCGTTCGTAAGGTGAGGTATTCGACGATGGAGTGGCAGGAATTGGGTAACAGTTTAGAGGGTTGGCGGCTCTGGTCTCGACTGGTCTTGAAACACGGCCCAAGCAGTCTAGCGTGAGCGTAAATCATGGGGCAAAAACAGTCCTTCTCGCAGATTCCTTTTCAAATAAAACAGGGACTACTTATACCATCACCATTTCTTCGCTACCCATGATCAATTGGACTAGGGATATTGGACAAGTTTCAGTCTTCTGTAAACACTGTTTTGGCATATTTTCGGGGTTAAACTCAAACATCACACCAATACAATGTTTATCATGTTTAAGTCAGCGGGTGCCGTATTCATATTTTTTTCATGACTTTTACATATTGAATGTTACGCTTGAGTTATGAACAACACGACAAAGAGGGTTTAGTAGGGGAATTTGTATCAGGAGGATCCAAATGAAACAAATGTTAAATAACCAATTTAGTACACATTAGCGTGGATTAGGCCATAGGAAAATCGATATTTTCAGAACAATTCAAATCGCGCACCGTTATTTTAAAAAAAGAAATAACCTTGTAATTATCACATGTACTAACTTTAATCAGTAGAGCATATTACAGAACTCTGTGTTTCAGTCACAGAAGAAATATACAACACATGGTCTACGGCCCCGCTGTGCTTGTGCAACCATAATATTATAGTAGCGTACTATGGGCCAGAAACTGAGTATGACGTCATCTTGGAATTGTGGCGTCGTATCTTAAGCGAAATCCGTCAATTGAGGCGCAATTGTCCAAGGAACCACCATGCCTAATTTTATGTCAATCGTACATTAATTGACGGAGCCTTAGGCTTTTTTTCAAAATGCGCCACCAAAAAGAACAACAAGAACATGATCAGTAGCCCTAAGGCCCCAATTACTGACCCTAAAATGATATTGTGTGTGCTATTTGCGATTTTTTTTTAAATTTAAATCACAGAGTGTACTGGAGAAAAACACAAAATATAACTTATCTGAAGCTTCTTAATCGTTAAATAGTTGGATTTTACGCATAGAGTCGATATCTATGATTTTTTACGGTTGCTATGGAAACCAGGAGAAATAACTATTATAGCCTGTTTTGAAAATTGCCCAAGAACCTTTTTGATAATGTCGATAAAATTACCTTTCCAACCTTACCAAATAACCCTTGTTCTACCATAGGTAGGGGTATCGGAAAAAATATGGGCTTAAACCGCTAGCCTATAAGCTCTAACCGCCCACACCGCAACCATCAAAACTCCCTCCCAGAATTTGTGCCAGGAAAGAGATGCCGACAGTTATATCTACAAAGAATTGAAATGAAATGTTGTTTAACATCGTACTGTTCTTGTCCGATTGGGCTAATGAAAACGGGTATACAGAATACAGTGTGCTATGAGGGTAATTTTACCCGGGCAGCGGCACGACGACCTACTCTTACAGCAAATTCCATCTGTCAAGGGATCTTTTACGTGCACACCAATATATACACGGGACCTCTGTTTTCCGTCCTTTGTCCTGTACATCTGACAAGGGGAAAGCACGCTGGAAAATCCAGACCAGCTTTATCGGCTAACATAGGGAGCGAACCCGCGACCTCCAGGCTTGCGCTCCGTCCTGTCCCTCTGACAAGGGAAATCACGCTTGAAAATCATGATGAACTTTCTGGACCAACACCAGGAGCGAACCCGCGACCGAGACCGACAAAGGACGATCCTAATTTCAAATTGATTCCTTATTATTATTAATTTTATAATTCCAATATCAGTTTTCTGATTCATTTGTGTCTTATGAGTATTTAGCCTAGAACTGTGGGGCGTTTACATGTATCTTTCAGGAACAGAGATTAAGATGGAAAATAGTATGAAATGCGGTTTAATGTACTACTGTCCTTCTTCGATTGGGTAATGAAAACTGGCTAACGCCATACATTGTGCTACGAGGGACATTTTGCCAAGACAGCTGGGCTACGGTTTACTCTTATATCGAACTCCATTGTGTACACAGACCTCGATTTATTGTGCCACTCGAACGACTATGTTGTTCCTTGCCAGAGATCCCCCCCCCCCCCGTGTTACACGGAATTGAACACGGAACCGTCAAATTAAAGATCAAACGCCTTACTGACTGAGCCACAGTAAATGAGACTTTATTTTATTTTATTTATCACAGAAGCAGATCAGCCGTTCTAGTTGGGTAGCTGTTTCGTTTAGTTGACTGGATCCCGTGTTAATGGCGCCAATACCAATAGTGTAGTACATAATTAAATCATCTGTCGTCCCCCCGGTAGCAAAGGAGCTTGATTTCCTTATTGGGGTTGTCTCAGCAGCTTAAAAAAACAACCAAACAAATGAATTTAAGCAGAGTTGTATGCACCTTTTTGGAATGTTAATCTGTTTGTGGCAAACATTTTTTTTATTGATAAAGGTTGTTTGTTGATAAGGTAACGATATCAACGTTACAGCCACGTGGTAGGCATTCTTATACGACAGGTTGCGGTCATGAGAAGGATACGAGAACGTGAGCGGCTATAAGACTCTTTTGGTACCAGCTTCCCAGTGCCAAGCATTATTGGGATTAGCTAATCAAATCAGTTGTCTTATAATATGCTTGTGCTACATCATATTAAAATAATATATTCACCTTTTATCACAATAGCAATTCGTCGAATACCTGGCCTTCCATAATATTCAAAATCATTGATAATCACGTACAAGGCGGAATTTAATAATGGCATTCCTCCTAGTTTGTTAATTTGAGAGATACGTAACTTCTGGGTAGCGGTAGTTCCACTGCCTAAAGTGAGGATATTGAGATCCGAAGTAGACGCTGCCCCACCATGAGCGACGAATCCGAAGCGCCTAGCAATACCATCAATTCTCAGTTCACTATAAAGTTTCTGTAATAAATCCCTTTCCTGTCCAACCTCCTCATCCGTTATATTAGCAGAAACATCAACAGCGACTAAGACTTCCAAAGACTGGTTCGCACATAGAGAACTTGATACTGTAATTACAAAAACTACATATACAAATCTTGTTTATAATGGAGAGAGAGAGAGATGGGTGGATGGGGTTTATCGTCCAATCAAATACAAACCATATCTTTATCTCGTATTATATGGGCGGGGAAAGAGGGTAATGCGTGTGATGTACTTTCGATTTTGCGCTTGTAACCTACGTGACAAGGTACATGGTCGCATGTCGAACCTCGTGGGTTTTCATTCCCCTGGTAAAGAATCTTACGGGCAAGCGAATTATTGAAATAAAATTCAGCCATATGCTGAAATAACCTAGTTTGTGTCGAGTGGGCGTTAAATCCCAATTCTCTCCGCATCTCTTCTCCCTCTCACGTAGGTATACGTATAGGCAAAACTTAATTCAATTCCATGATGTAAAAGAGCACGCCGCCACAATTGATAACAGTTACGAGGGCGGTGACCTTTATCCAAGTTATAAATGTTCAGTAAATGTTTTCATATTCCCGATACAGCTTGTTCACCACGTCAGTTAACCGTGTGCATAGGTTGGAACTGCAGTAAAGTTATCAACGCTTGGAGTTTCGAATTGCTGTTGGGACATCTTGTAGACAGAACATACGTTTCCATATCTTTCATAATTTCAGAACAAAATTAACCCAAACTAGGTGAAGGATTGAGTAGTCGGTTTCAATCGCCTTTTCCCTAACGATCGCATATTACAACTGTTCGGAGTAGTTAATAGTGAGGTGAAAATCATCTTGTGCTGTCTGAAACGATAACTTAACTTCTCTGTGTCACTTTCAGAATCGTTAATAACGATCAGCCATATTAAAATCTGTTAAACTATTTAAATCATGTATGTCAAAATCATGTAAAATATGAACACTATTATATATTTTTTTTCACTAACTTATCACGAACGTTTTATCGATCTTTAACTTATATGTAGCTACCATTTTCAAATAACAAAAATAACACAACTGCAATTTGGGGATAGCAGTGATGTTGATGCTACTTTTGCTACTAAATTTATCTTGTTTGGAAATAAGAGGACGCGAGACTTATTATCATAGCTGCCACATTAGTTATAGTAAATGTCTCCTGTCTGACAATAACAGACAGAGAGGTCTATTATCATAGCTACCCCATTCTTAACAGTCTTAAAATCATTACCATTATCCAAGCAATCGTTACTGTCACAGCTCCTTATTTCTACAGAACCACCAGGACAGTTAGCTCCACCAATCTCTGGAGGAGGATTGTCACATACTCTACTCCTTTTCTGTTCAACACCACATACAGAACAACACGTACTAAACTCCGACCATGTTCCCCAATTACCGTCAACTAAAAATAACAAATCTGTTTTATATCATACGTATTGTCCCCAGTTAAAACTAATTGATATTTTCATCCATAGTGACCACCTACTGGAAATATCATATATTTGCCTCTAAATTTGATAACCACGTTTATATATCCGAACATAAACGTCATTTAAACTTTAGACATCAGTTTTATATAATTTGTGTAAGCAATTTTCCATATTACAGGCGTTTGTGATCCTGTTGATAGATTTGTAAAGGTGTTTTTTGTTAGTAAGGTTGGTTGTCAGGCTAAATTGTCAAAGATTAAAATGTGGCGGACATTTGACCTTCAATAAAATGTGTTTGGAAATATAATTGGTACATTTAGATTAAGAATAATGAGAGACTAAAATCACCAGGTAATTCACCGCCCAAACCACACAGGCACCGAAATGTTATTTCAGTAAGTTTGATGGAACATTGTTTCTAGATTACAAACAACGCGGGCACTGAAATATTATTTCAGTTTGATGGAACTTTTTTCCACAGACAGACACGTTGAAACCCGAAAACATCTACTGGCGGCTAAAATATAATTAAGGTTCTCAATTTATTGACGTTTGTTTATATAAATGTCTGGCCACATCTTTGTGGATTTATTTATAGAAATATCTCACCAGGACAGTTAATCATCGTGTTACAGCTTCTTGTTTCATTACCATCACCATGACAATCAGCTCCACCATAAACTGGAGCAGGATTATCACAAGTTCTAGATCTGCTCTGAGTTCCATTACCACATGTTACAGAACATGAATTAAAATCAGACCATGGCCTCCAATTACCATCAACTGACAAAAAACACAAGGCAATAGTTCTTTTTTATTATCCAAAATCGTTATCTAACTGCTATTTTTGACCTCGTTAGCCCAGTTGGCGCTAGCAAACAGGACGTTAAACCTCAATTTAGAAAACACAAATTATCTATAGTTTTAATGTACCTCTTACAACGAGAAAAGTTTATTTCAAGCGAGATTGTCAACTGTATTAATACATCAAAAATACCACTAACAGTAACAAAACTGGATGTTTACATTTTGGAATTTAATGTTTAATTAAACATTCACCATTATGTAAAATAAATTTGCATGCTTGACAAATAGACGATTGACAAATTACAAATATCTATGTAATCCCCGGGCAAAGATCTCGACAGCATGGTGGTGATTTAGTATTGGTTTTTGAATGACCCACTGTAATCAGCATTTAAAACTCGGCCTTCACAATTCTGGGTGTATTTCGTCTCCCCACAATGCTATGAAATGAAATAGGGTTTAACACCCTACTGTTCTGCTCCGAACTGGGCTAATGAAGACGGGCATACGCCATACAGTGTGCTATGAGGGAAATGTTGTCCGGACAGCGGTACTACGGTCTACTCTTCGAATTCCAGCTGTCAAGGAATATTTTACGTGCTTGCTAATGTGTACACAGGACGTCGGTTTTTCGTCCCATCTGAACGACTAAACAGCTGTTCTTGTCAGGCCCTGTGCCCTGCATCACTGAAAATGGGGAGCCACGTCGGAAAATCTGAATGAACATTCTCGGCCAATGCAGGGATCGAATACCCGACCTCCAGACTAGCGGGTCAGCGTCTTACGCACTTAGTCACCGTGCCCGCCCCCCAATGATAATATCATGTTAATAATATAACTGGCGGCTAAAATATAATTAAGGTTCTCAATTTATTGACGTTTGTTTATATAAATGTCTGGTCACATATTTGTGTATTTATTTATAGAAACATCTCACCAGGACAGTCAATCATCGTGTTACAGCTTCTTGTTTCATTACCATCACCATGACAATCAATTCCACCATAAGCTGGAGCAGGATTATCACAAGATCTATATCTGCTCTGTGTTCCATTACCGCATGTTACAGAGCAAGCATTACATCTAGACCATGGGCCCCAATTGCCATCAACTAAAAAAACGAAGGCAATTTACTATCTCCGATTGTTGTCTAATTGTTCTTTTCCCATAGCGCATGTTCGTCTTCGTTAACCCAGTCGGCGCAAACAAACAGGACGCTAAACCTCATTTCATTGTCTAGAAAACACAAATAGTTGTTTTATTATCTGTAGTTTTAATGTACCTCCTACGATGAGAAAAAGATTAAATCTAATAAATGGATATCATGTTCAGAAAAAGATTAAATCCAATAAATGGACATTATGTTCAGAAAAAGATTAAATCTAATAAATGGACATTATGTTCAGAAAAAGATTAAATCCAATAAATGGACATTATGTTCAGAAAAAGATTAAATCCAATAAATGGACATTATGTTGAGAAGAGTATGATATTGATTTGGATGATTTTAAAAATCCCGATGTCATTCTATGTCGTTAAACCGTAAAGTTTATTTCAAGTGAGACTACCAGCTTTATTAATATATCTATTGTAAATAGATGATTGACAAATTACAAATATCTATGTAATCCTAGGGCAAAGATCTCGACAGCATGTTGATGAGTTAGTATTGGTTATTGAATGACCCACTGTAATCAGCATTTGAAACTCAGGTTGGTTAGTATTAGTATTGAATGACCCACTGTAATCGGCATTAGAAACTCAGCTTTCACAATTCTTGGTGTATTTCGCCTCCCCCCTCCACCCAATGATAATTTCACGTTAATATACTGTAAAATAATTTTCAAAACCTTTTCTAATATCATCCACAATTTGTTATTTTAATAATGTTTATAAAACTTTGCATACTTTGTGTCTTTGTTTTTCATTCCAATGAGACTATGGCCGCAACCTTCATCAACGTGTCAACTGGCGGGGTTTCGATTCCCCGGTTGTACGTGACAAGGACTAGGGCCGGCTGTCAAAGCGCAAGCGAATTATGGAAATATAATTGAACCATACGTTAGTCCCGAAATGACCTAGGTTGTGTCGAGTGGACGTTAACCCCATCTCTCCCTCTTTCTCTCTTCGTCAACGAATACTACAGACATTTCATGATTCCATCTTTTTCCACACTTGAATCAAGTCGTTACAAGGGTTGACGTTCTTCTCATCTCTTTCCCCTATTGAATCAAGTCGTTACGAGGGTTGACGTTCGTCTTATCTCTCCCCCCCCCCCTTTGAATGGATTCGTCACAAATGTTCACGGATGCATCAATAATAAAAATAACCAAGAACTCACCAGCACAGCATCTGCTGCAAACCTGCGATCTTCTAATTTGGTTGCAACTTATCTGTTTCAGTGTCCGACGTTGGTGGTACCGTCTCCACATAAACAGTTGACGTCCATAAGAATATCTACGACGGATTCCATTTCGTACCCTGTGTCTTCTACCCGCATCAACAACCGTTATAATAATGACAAGAACCAGAGTTGCGGCCAACATAAACCGCATCTTGATGTATCTTCTAGTTGTATAAACGTGTACAACCAACTGGAAAACGATTGTTGAACACTGGGAATACCTCGTCTTTTAAACAGATTTCAGATGTTGACAGATGTTCTTGTTTCCCGGTAAAATTAAATTGAGTTTCCGTGTTTTAATATTAATTTTATTTTCATGTGAGGAAGTATCAAGTAGAAATTAAAGTATTTGTGTTGTTACATAACGTCATAACATTGTTACATAAAACGTGAACAAAGAGAAACCGCATGGAGATCTGTCACTTATGACAGTCATAAACATCAAAAGTTTAAAAGTTTTATGTTCATATTAGGAAATATAATAAACATCAAACATGTTGATTTTGTGCGGACAAAGATATCAGCGTGTTTGCTCAAGTTCTAACCATTTTGGGTCTTTTTGTAAGCAACACCTTTGCTTTGCCAATTCTACACAATCTGGATGTTTTGTCAACAAACGGAAGGTACCGTGTGACGCCATCACCCTAGTGGTCTGTTGATGTTCCAACATCCAAGTTCTGCTGTAAATTGTGATTATAGTGATAGTGATGATATTCCTAATTTTTGCATTCTAGTTTACCTTTCTATTTTTGTAAACTTTAATGTTGTTAATACCCGCCTATCTTCAGCGATATGTAACAAATAGAATAAAATAAACTTAGCTTAACACTTTACCCCATATACCTGTGTAGGTTAGTCCCACAACTGACACAAAAGCACGCGTTTAGCCCTATCTCGACCTATGCATCCTACCAAATCTACAGCACATTTCTTTCATGGAACCGAGGGTGTTGAGTGGCCGAATGGCGTAGCGCATTCGATCACAATGTCTGTCATTGAGTCAATTGGCGTGGATTCGATTCCCAGTGCCATCTAATCTTTTTAAATTTATATGGGGCATGAAGCTTTATTAGAGAACGCAAAGCTACAACTTGGCCCAAATAGTCATTAAATCCACTTGACATGTCCATGAACGAGGCATACGGTTTGTGATTGTCAAGATTAATTATTAGGGTTATGACCCCTAGACTCGGATTGGGTGGTGGGGGGGGGGGGCATTTATGCCGTTTTATCTTGACGTAAATAAAGTGTAGACGATATTACACAAAGCATTGTGTTTATTACAGGATCTTGATAGCATTTACAAAATATTATGGTCATTAAAAGATGTCAATAGTATTTACAAAATATTACGTTCATTAAAAGATCTCAGTAGTATTTACAAATCATTATGTTTATTAAAAACACTAATGGTGTTTAAATCATATGAAATGAAATGAAATGATGTTTAACGTATTACTGTTCTGCTCCTAAACTGGGCTAATGAAGACGGGCATACGCCATACAATGTACTATGAGGGAAATTTTGCCTGGACAGCGGCTCTACGGCCTACTCTTATATCAAATTCCAACTGTCAAGGGATCTTTTACGTGTATGCCCGCCGTCCTACATCTCTGGCAAGTGGGAACCACGCCGGAAAATCTGGACGAACTTTCACGGCCAATGCAGAGATCAAATACCCGACCTGCATAAATCATATTAATAGTGTTTAAATCATATAAGGGTGCCTGAAAAGTTCTAAGTTTTAAAAGGAACAGACCTTTAGCCACCAACCAGTACCATCATTGAATGACGCATAGCCATAAGAACTGTAACTGTAGTGTTATTGTTGTTTTCGTACCAGACCATCTTGTGAACCTACCCGATGAAATCACCAGGAATGGACAAACTGGCTATAGGACAGTCACCAAGTACCTGTAACTGAACGCTCTACAACACAAACACATGCCGAAATGGTATCCACTTCCGGAGATGATACTCCTTCATTTTTCACAGTAAAGAAGTGGGTTGCGAAATTTGAAAACAGGCGAAACGTAGATAAGCAACTCTCCAAGTGTATTTCAGTGTATTACACCATAAGATAATTACAATAATTAGATGAATTTATGCTAGTACACGGACAGACTATAATATAGATAAACGTTAATCCTATATATTATACTATCTTGGTCAACATTAGTCTCAACTGTTGTTTTATTAGACATGGAATCAATTCATACAACAGGAATGGAATCAAATCATACAGCAGGAATGGTTTCATATCAAACAGGAGGAATGGATAATCTGGCCTTTGATCCTGGTCTGAAAAATGGAGACCAAGGTAAGAAATATACAAGCGTATAGACAATGTTTTGATGAAATCTTTAGTCACAAGCCAATTGTTTAATGGGACCCCTGGTCAGCAACGCGAAATCATAGCCACCGGTCATTTGTTTCATCCAGTTCACTCCATATTTTTCAAATGTTTAATTGTTTAAATTCACAACCACCATCTGGAAAGGTTAACATCAAGCCATTGCTATTCTGCTGGGCCAGATGGAGTTGGAAATTAATACAATGGTTCATTGATTATGACATTGGCTATAGTCTGGAGAACTCGGGTTCTCTAAAGTTCCTTGAGATATTTAGGCGTGGTTTCCCCCTTGGTAGTGGAAGGAATTATTAGTGAGCAGACGTTCGCCCGTTTATCACTCGTCACTTCAGTCAGTTATATAGAAGGATGACTCGTGTTTTCCGTTTGCGTTCGTCACTTCCCTTTCTTGAAATTTTTATAACGCATCTATCGTAGCAATGATCTCTGTGTTAAAATTATATTTGGAACGTGTTTAACAATCACTTATTATGTGATAATGACTGGTACACATATTGCCCTTTAACAATTATGCATCAATAATTTGGGGAATATTGGAAAACAATTAAAATACAGGTTATAGAAGCTATGCGTAGCCATGGGCTTGCGCTTACAGAGTGTGATTTTATAATAATTAAAGTATTGGATGTGATATCTTCTCAAATGGGCGAAACATATAAATATATTAACATGTACAAATATTTGAATTTTCCATGTTTTTGATATTAAATCAAAAATTAACGGCACCCCCAAACACACACACACACGCCCATGTCTGATATTGATGCATAATTGTTACGTCCGCACAAAATGTTCATGAGAGGTTTTGATTCATGATAATCAGTCACTTGAAAGTATTATATATAAACCTCAGAATACCTCGTTCGGCATTTTTGTTCAAATGTGGCAAAAAAGTGTTAAAATTGTTGCCACACTTTTGCCACGTTGTAACGTGGTAAAAGAAATGCCACTTTTGACTGGAGTTTAAAACGTAGTTTTTCTTTTAAATTGCCATGTTTTTGGAACGAGGTATTTCGTCCAGAACAAAAAAGGTGTATAAATAAAACGTAATTTGTTCCAAGATAACTATTAGCGCTATTTCCTATCAGTAAATAGAGCCACGCAAATTATGTTTCGACCATAACGTGACAAAGTGCAAATCTACAAATTAGATTATTTATTTGGGACATGATATGGTTCATTATTATGGTTTACTAACTGGAATTCTATCGTGTATTTATTTTATTAATTCCATTTCACGATTGGTTTGTCTTATTTCACAGTTAAATTATATACATGTAGTAAGAACCTTAGTGGGGAATAACATTCATCTTCAACACTTCAATACACACTCTGCCAGCGGCATGTTTGATCTACACTCACTTAACGTTAACCCAAACTTGAAATCTTTCAACGGTTTAACAACTAGGTGCCAAATAAATGATTTCAACCACCAGTTGTATGGTTGTGTAGGCCTCTAAGTAGAACGGACATGAGCAAATCAATTATAACCAAAAGAATATAGAATATTTCCAAATGAAAACTTTTAACTCCTGTAAATAAATACAAAAAGCATTTCGAAATAAAATTTTAAAAAAAGTAATTTCGAAAAGTAAAACCAAAAGTATAGGAACCACCCCAGTTTCAATAAAATCATGCATTATAACTATTTTTATTTATTTATCTTTAATTTAAGTTGGTTCTTCGGGTGTAACAAGTTATACATATTTATTTTATATAGAGTGTCTGTTTTTAAATTAGGGAATAAATGTTTTTAAAACTTTAGATCATAGTAAGTTTTTGTATATCTCTCTACCATAAATAATAGCCTGAGCATTTCACAGAATATCTGGATTTGAGTATAGTATTTTATGGGGTAGAGTTGATGTGGAGTATAAGTCGAATCATCCTATTTTACTGTTTTTCCGACCTCCATCCATATATAAGTCGAAGCGGGTTAAAATCTATAATCTATAGGACTGTTATCCTAGTTTATTTGAACCAGTTTTTATTTCAATATATTTGATATATAAGACAACACAGGCCCTGTTTCTAATCAAAACGTGTTTATAAAGTACGTTAATACAAATAGAATTCAACAAGGCAGTATAGTATACAGTCAAAAGTTAAAGCAATGTAACCAGTTTTTATTGTCAGTTTAAAATACCGAGCCATTCAGATATAACCGCCGGATTGTCATGAGCACGCGGGTTTTTCAGACTAAAGTATAACCAGAAAACTTATTGTCCTTACACAATAAAAGTTATATTACTGTTATTAATTCCATTCAACCATTGGTTGAAAATAAATAATTATTGGGAGGTTCTAGCTGCAAATAGTATGCATCAGTTGTGTTTGGAAATAAAATCAGTAACTTTTATGTGGTCGTTAATTTTAGATCTACAGGTTTTAGCTATCGACTTCTTGTCGACATGTTTGATCCCTGCATTGGCCGAGAAAGTTCATCCAGATTTTCCGACGTGGTTCTCCCTTGTCAGTGATGCAGGACGGAAGGGCTGACAAGGAAAGCTGTCTAGTCGTTCGGATGGGACGAAAAACCGAGGTCCCGTGTACACATTGGCGTGCACGTAAAAGATCCCTTGGCAGTTGGAATTCGACATAAGAGTAGGCCGTAGTGCCGCTGTCCGGGCAAAATTTCCCTCATAGCACACTGTATGGCGTATGCCCGCCTTCATTAGCCCAGGTTAGGAGCAGAACAGTAGGACTTTAAACTCCATTTCATTTCATTTCATTTCATTTCTTGTCGACATGTTGCTTTTATTTTTGTCCCGGAAATAATATTTTATATTTGTGCTTTAGTGTTTTCCTCCTTGCCCATGATTGGTTATTCAAGATAAACGT